TTTCATAAATCACACGTGAACTCTGTCGTAAGTTGATTTGTGCGCACAGATCTGCGCTCGTTTCTACGTTAGATTGATAAATGAGGCCCACTGTGTGACAAAAAGGGAAGATGCAAAGTTCCTGGGTGCTATGAAGTACATGATGTGACAGACACACCACATCAGGGCTGGGAAACTTCGGTCCTGGAGGGCCACTGTCCTGCAGATTTAGCTCCAACCCTAATCAAACACATCAGAACCAGCTAATAAATGTCTTTCAAGATCACTAGAAAGCTACAGGCAGGTGTGTTGAATTAGGGTTAGAGCTAAACTCTGCAGGACAGTGGCCCTCCAGGACCGAAGTTTCCCAGCCCTGCACTATGACACAAACCTACGTCTGTATCAAATGCAATATATCAATGTGTTTCAAGTGTTTTTCCCTTTTCACTTCTTGACAGATTTGTGATTTCAATTGCTCTCTGAACATTGTCTTATGATATGTGAATGGAGAATTTTCTCCGTGATTCTGCACCATTGTTGCACAACGTTGCCCTAAGGCAGCGAAAAAATATTTTGGGATGGGGGGTGAGGGGTGGTCAAAAAAAAAGTTTTATCAATAAAATGTTCCCAAATAAACAAAACAATTATGTAGAATAATTTTTTATCATGTTCCCTCAAAATGTGTGCAGTAGAGGGTTAAAATAATATACAGCACACATATTACTAGGACAGTCCTCTGGCATAACCTCAGCCTTAGAAAAATACTTACATTTACTACAGTACAGTAAAGTCATGATAATATGCAATGTCCTTCAAGCAATGTAAGAGGGTTTGTTTGTTTTCCTGACATTTTGTTTCTTTATGTGTCCTGTCACAGTTTCATAAACTGAACCGAAAATATTCTGCAGTTCTCATAAAAACACGAAAGAGCTCTAACACTGTTTTGCGCCATTGTTTTGGCAATGCATCTGTCAATCGAACTACAACAGAAATCACGACAGGGCTTGGTGGTGGCTCTAGGGCATAAGATGCACACCTGGATGAGGGCCCTGCAGGTGCTGCTCCAGTAGCGATGGATCCAGCAGAAACTCAAACCAGGAGGCCTGCGGCGGGGTGCAGGGACGACTGCAGCTCAACGCCTCGCGGTCTGCCGCCTCAACGCTCATACTGACCTGCACAAAACATCAGTGCATGGCATTCAGTACATAAAGCATAATAGCTTTTTATATGCTTTATTTGAACCATCAATTTACACTATGGTACAACAAAATTAGAACACAGTAATTAAAAATAACCAATGGAGAGAAAGAAAACAAGAACAACCAATACCATAGCTCAAAACAGAAACGTAATAAATAATAAAGGAAAAAGAAAGAAGAGGGCATTATACAGAACAATAAAAATTAAACATTAAATACAATAGAAAATTTGTAGGCCATGCAAATTGTACATGTTCTGAGTGCTTTCTTGTTAAGTGAAACTGAAATTGTAAGCAAATAATTTTTTCTCTTGTAAAAACACTACAAAAACAGGTTTACAATTCAAAAATTTGCATTTGTGAATATAGGATCTACATAAGAAGAGAATTAGGTTTATTACAAAACAATCCAAAAAATAGTACATTTGGGATTAACTGAAAAATCTAACTAACAAATCTAACAAACTAACATCTTTCCAGAGATGAGCAGAATAACTGCTTGACCAAAACAAATGAAGAAGAGTTTCGGTGTCATTCTGACAAAAGGAGCATTTTGTGTCAAAATCAGATCCAAAAGTTTTCTTCAGACAGGGTAAATCTTATATTAGCTCTGTCTTAAAATACAGCGAACAGACAGCATGAACACAGACTGTAAAAAAAAACAAAAAAAAAACAGGTCATGAACAGTGTTTTTGGGCTTGAGTGCGGATTGTATATATGATGCCCAAATATGCTGTCTAGGTAGGCAGCTCACTAGGATTCGGCACACTGTGATGTACTGGTTCAACATTTTGAGCTTTTAATTGCAATCATATTAGTTAATTACGTTTTAGTTACCGATGATTATTGACGATAGTAATATTGGTGTCAGTAATGTTCAGAGTTAACTTAATAATATCAGGCTCGTGAAAACTGCTTAGATGTGACTCAATGCTAGTCTTTGATCTTTATAGTCCCACCGGTTTTTATCATTTCCTGCATTATCACTCACCTGCTTTGAACTACTGAATTAAAAATACGTTTCTATTAACGCAAAGACTACTGTTCCTAGACGCCACAGTGTTGTGTTTCTTCACTGCAGAGGATCTATGAGAGACTGCGCGAAACAGCGCCGCTTACTGGACAGGCGGGTACAGAGCGCGCACAATTTATGAATATACCAATAATGTCGAGGAAAGAAAATATTTTGGAAACACGGTTGTTCAAAATGGCACATATCAAAACAAAAAATTTTATATTTAAGTGTTCTTTTGTGTTATTTGATGTAATTTAGTATTATATGGATTATTTCAATAGCATTCTCTGTTTGGTCATTGAACACTTACACATTTTTGAACAATTACAATTAAAAAAAATGTATTAGCAAGTAAAATAGTAAAACTACACATTCTGAACAATTACAGTTCAAGCAGTGTATTAGCAGTTAGTTAGTATAAAAATAGGGCACAATCTATGTTAATATGAAGGAATTTTCCATATTGATTTTTCACAGGTTTTTTGATCTGCATTTTAAATTAGGCATAGCATTTTGTGTTTTCGGGTTACATGGTTACAATGGATAATGAATAATGGATAACGGATAATGTCCTGGAAAATAACTAGTACCTCTTCCATTTTTCTAGATATTTTTCTTACAGTGTACTAACTGATCAACAATCGCAGGTGCAAGCTACTAACAAGGTGTATCATAAATGAACAATTATTCAAATATTCAATTATTATTATTAAATTAAACAATTGCAAATAGCAGCTAACTCAGGGACGTGCACAGACATTTTGAGGGGCACGGGCTCAAGTGGAAAAAAAAGGGCACTTCTCATATTTATTTTCTAAACAAAACATTAAATGTGTGACCCTGCCTGTGAAAACCCAGCTAAAGTAATTTTGTGATTTACTGTTTTCTACATAAAATCATCCTTCATAAAAATGTAAAACATTCTGTGAAAATATAACCTTTATATCTTTAATATTGACTAAGTAAGGCCATGTCAAAGATTGAAATCATGGTGAAATTAATGGTTGAAATGAAACTTTGATGCTTGTTATCTCATGATTAGATTTTAAGACTGTAGCCTGGATTTCACAGACAGGGTCACATATATTAGGGGTGTGCGATATTGACAAAAAACACATCTCAATATTTTCTGGGATTTTATCGATAAAGATAATTATAATACGTGTGTTATTGTGCTGATATCTTAAGGACTACTGTGGACAGCTGCCTGACTCCTAAAGTTTTTGATATTCTGTGTGGTGATTAGTTCACAGCAATGATAGAAATTAATCTTTTCCAATAAGTTTAAATTGATTTTTTATCTTTTATGGGCATTTTTACCTTTATAAAGCCATTTTTTTCTAAAAGTGTGCATCATCTTTTCAGTTAAATTCTTAAATTGAATCAGTCAATTAGAATAATAAGTCATTTGGGCTGTTACCAAGCAAATGAAATCAGTATTGACCAAATTAATCTTTGCAATGCAGAGAAAACACAGTGGGCCTCATTTATCAATCTAACGTAGAAACGAGCGCAGATCTGTGCGCACAAATCAACTTACGACAGAGTTCACGTGTGATTTATGAAACATTCGTATGCCGCCGATCTCTGTGTATGGGAATTGTGCACTTTCAAGCTCTGCTCAGAGTCTGAGATTAAGAGTCTCATCATCCAAATAATTCCAAATCTCCCTCTCTTCCTGCAACCCTCCATTCCCCCCCCCCCCCCCCCCCCCCAGGAAAATAAAAATGAACAAAATGCTGTCATTCTAGAATTCTCCACTGTCATAACTACGCTACGCGCAAGTTCAGGTAACTCAAAAACTTGCATACACGAGCTGAGACCACACGTGAGATTTCATCATAGCCACCGCTCACGTCCATATTGATAAATTCCAAATTTTGCGTTAAAACGACCGTACGCTCAATTTTCTGTCGTACGTTCGTTTCGTAAATGAGGCCCAGTATGTGCATTTACACACTGTATAATGCAGGACATGAATGCATTTAACATTCAGCTACAAATGCATTAATAATGTTTTGATATTTTAAACATAAAATGTTGAATACTGATATCTGAAATTATTTTTAAAAAATGAAGATACTTTAAAGGGGTCATATGATGCTTTTTTAAAGATCACTATTTTGTGTATTTGGTGTAACAGAATATGTTGACATGGTTTAATGTTCAAAAAACACATTATTTTTCAAATACTTTACATTATTGTAGGTCCTTTGTGCCCGCCTCTCTCAAACGCTTCGTTTTCTACAAAGCCCCTCCTTCCGACAAGCGCAGTCTGCTCTGATTGGCCAGCTGACCCAGTGCATTGTGATTGGCCGAACACCGCAATCACTCGTCGGAAATGTAACATCCCTTACCATAATCGCTAGCTTCATCTTTCAAAATAAATGTAAAGACAGAGCCTGAAAGGGGAACAGAGACAGTGATGCCGACAAGCGCAGTCTGCTCTGATTGCCAGCTGACCCAGTGCATTGTGATTGGCCGAACACCGCAATCACTCGTCGGAAATGTAACATCCCTTACCATAATCGCTAGCTTCATCTTTCAAAATAAATGTAAAGACAGAGCCCGAAAGGGGAACAGAGTCGCGTGACAGACACAGTGATGAAGCTGGT